CATTTCTTGCAGCCAGCAGGTGGCCGACAAACTCCTGTTCTAGCCGGCCCCTTTCTTTGCAGGTCTGCTATCCACCTTTGTGCTGAACAGCGTTGGAGGCATATGTTTTGTTTTGCTCTTTGTGTGTTTTAAGGTATTGTTTTGAGTCTTTTTGGTTTTTGCAAGTTTGTCGAGTTGTATTTGAGTTGTTTTGTTTATCGAGTTGTTGTTTTTTCTTTTTATCGAGTTGTATATCGCATTTTGTGTTTTGGTTATTGGTTGGTTCATCTTCGATTAAGCATCTTGTTTTAATCAAAAACACTTGGCCCTTTCAATTCCCTGTCCTCATGATGCAAAAATGACTCACTTTTTCATAAAAATCGCTTGTTTTTATTCCGATCATGGCTTTCTACAAAAGAGGAGTACAAGGTTTAAAGCAAAATAGAACTTCCTAAAGCTATACCTGTGTTAATGCTACTAACAAAAAGAAATAAGCAAAATAAAAAATAAATCAGCGCCAGTCATCTCAGGCTCGAGAGGCCCTCTTCGTCCTCTTCCTGGGGAGAGACTCAGAGCTATCTCCATCAGCGCCACTATTTGACTCAGATGCTGAGCCGGAACTAGAACTGGAACCCTCGTCGGTCTCTACTCCAGAACCTGACTCATCAGCACCTCTACTCTCAGATCCCGAGTCACCATCATCTCCACTCTCGAAGGACTCAGACTGCAGAATCACTGTCTCCCCGGAGTCACTAGTCTCAGCATCGTCGTCAGTCAATACTGGCTCTAAGGGGCTCTTCCGGCCTCGATCACGACGCCCCTCTCGGCTGCGTGCTGGGGCCCGTTCCTTGCTCTCTGCTACTGGAGGAGGTGGTGATGGTCCAGGCGCAGTCGCCGCCGCTGGTGCTCTCAGTATGGATGGAACCTGAAAAGATACAATATTGGCATATCAAATATGATGAATAGTTACAGATACAGTATGATGAAAATGATGGAATGCAATGAGCCAAATACAGTGGAAGTACAGTGTGTGTCAGTGCAGTATAGCGGTGTGATGTAACAAGGGAAAAAATGCATACCATGAGATGAGTATCAATGCTTCAATCAGAATACAATGCACAATAGTGTGGAAAATGTTGAAATGCGGGTAGAAAGTAAGAGAAGAATTCCTGAATGCCATGGAGACTGAGTAGTACCTCCTACATCGGAATTATACTCTCGAATGAGGCTACTAGCTCGAGCAATCCCTCTGTGTACCCTGGGGGTGCCTGTAAATGTATTGAGTTTGATCAGTATCCGAAAGGAACATATATCATAAGGAAAATGGAAAGCGAGAGAAAATGTGGTAAATACCAGAGGTGCATCGTGAGCTCGGACGTATTTATGCCCGGCCTCTACTAGCTGAATCGAAATCTGATATGAGGTCTTGGCTAGCCTCTAACATGTCAGCATGGTCAGGATCTCTCGCCAACCAGTCGCTTGTATAGTGGGAGCGGCCCCTTTAGTCTTGGCCCCCGCCGCCCGAGTCTTGCTCGCCATAGGGGCACCTACTGCTCTGCCTGCACGAGCACCGGTCAAGGGAGGCATGAGGTGTGTCTGGATGAACGTCGAGTAATCTCCGTCCCTGCGGAAGTAGTCGGCAACCAAGCCCTCTGTGAACTGGATCATCTCCTGAAAGGAGAGACTCTCCATAGCCCTTATAGATGCTGGAGAAGGCATGGGAACTATTGCCTCAAGCAAACCCATGGTCTGGCACATGTCGCCTAAGAACTAGGCTCGGCAAACCGGGCCCGCTATCAGAAGCTGAAAACGGGAGGCCCCTCAGGCACCGGCGTACTGGTCCTTGACTCCAACCGGCATTATCGCTCAAGGCTGCCAAGCGATCTGCAAACAGGGGATATACAGATTGTTAGTCATTGTCAATTGTTGATACTGCAAAAATAACTGTGGGTTTTAGGTTACCTCCGCTGCAATCGCTGTGTCGAAGTACCGGTGGAAGAATGAAAAGATCTCCCGGGTCCTTCACAGACATCTGATGACGTACCGATGAGAATGCGGTACAACATGAGGCATCTCCACCTCTGGCTCCAGAGCAAGGGTCGAGAAATATGCGTATACCCAGAGCCGCAAAGAAAAGGCAATAATGAGTATGCAATGTACAAAAAGTACAGGTACAGATACAGAAAGTAGAATATGTGATGCCGAAAGTAGAATGAGTATATAGTGTATAGAAAGTACAAGTGTAGATACAGAGAATGCAGAATGAACAATGCAGTATGCAGTGTACAGAAAGTGCAAAGTAGAAAGCACAAAATGGAAGATAGACAGTATAAAGCAAAAATGTAAAGCATACCTCCCATGCTCTCCAGTAGCCTCTGACCCTGTCTGCCCTCCTACTGGATGTCAAGCTCATACAACCATATAATGTGGCGAGGCCAGTTCCTCCCTAATCATAGAGCCGGACTTGAGGTAAGTCCACCAAAGCGCTCAATAGGTACAACCCTATGATGTTCCACCTATTCGCAAACATGGTGGTACCGAAGAGGAACATCAAAAAGCCTCGGGCATAGTGCTCGGTCTCTTCTAGGGCCTGCAGCTTTCTCCTATGAAAATGCTAGACAAACCAGCTGTAGCAGACCATGGTTGGTCAGAAGAGAGGTGGGCGTGCTCCTAATAGGTAAAGCCAGGTGGCCTTCCACTCGCCCATGTCCATATTGTAAGGGATTGTATTAACCCCTACTTCTATGCCTGTAAGCATGGCGAGGTCGTAAGGAGTCATCGTCATCTCCTCGGCTGTGGAAAAGTGGAAGGAATTGGTGGTATCCCACCACCGCCCCACCAATGCACCGAGAAGCAGTCGACTCATGATATGGCACAATAGCCCCATGCAAAATAAGTCGAAACTGGCCTCATCGATAATGTAGCAAACACCGGTAAGGAGCTCCATATACCAGTCCCTCGCGGATGTGGCTCCGTAGCCCCTAATGGACCGAGAATCCTCCTGTGGTCAGAACAATGATACACAGTGATATGAGAACAGGTAGATGAAATGCAGTGTAAGAAATATAGTGCAAGAGTGTCACTAAGGCAATAAATGCAATGTAAGCATGCATACAATTGAAGCAACGAATACAATTAAAGTAAGAAATGCAATGCAAAGTGAGGAAAGCGTGAGAATACAGTGTATACCTTAGTGGCGCCATGGGACAAATGGGAGTCTGAATCCCATGGCAAGAGATCCTCTGGTGTGTGTAGACACAGCCCGCGGGGGACCTCGCTACAGCTCGGACTCGACTTTCGTCAGTCACGGTTCTTAATCTGAACCAAAGAGTCCAAATCCGGCAAATCGTTTTGAGAAACAGATTTTTGAAAGTAGTGCCTGAAACCTCCAGGTGGTGGTACATGTATCCGAGGATGGTATGTCGCCGGATCAAAGGGGCATACTCCTAGTGGTAATATCTCGGGCTCAGACTCGGCCTTCATCTCTACTAGAGGTGGAATCTTGAAGGGAGCTCCATCATGTGGTAGATTGTCTGCATCGGGAAAGAGGATGAGAAAGTGGTGGAAAAATGAAGAAAAACGAAAAAAGGGCATACTTGGAAAAAGTCAAACCCTAGGAGACAGAAAATGGAAGAAAAAGTCAAAGCCCGGGAAAAGTCACAAAACCCAACAGAAACTCGAGGGTAATAAGCCTCAAGTGGTGAAATTCTAAGAAAGAGCACCAAAATCAACTTTCAATCGGTTCAAAACGGAGTAAACAAAGAGGGTTAAGTGAATAAACTTTGCGTAGGGTGTTAGAAAATGCGTAGAAAGCATGGATCTAGAAAGAATGAATACCTAGAGAGAGAGAGAGACGAAACAATTTCAGGCATGGGGTAATGTGGAAATGAGACCCCATGCCTTATACTTAAAGACTCGAGCCAAAAAGACCCAAATACATCGAATTTGCCACGGGTGGCCGCAGGCCACTTTTGTGGCCGCCAAAAGTTGTTGAAGGCCGTCAGGTCACCAGCGGCATCCCCTTGTGGCTGGCAGGTCTCTTGTGGCCTCCCCTGTGGTCCTGATGCTGATTTGTGTCCTTGGTTTCCAAGAAGTGTAAGGACAGTTTACTGTTTGGTTCAATTTGTCTCTATGAAAGCTTTAAACTGTGTTTTTCGGTGCACAATACTACAACAAAATGATACTTTAATGACAAAATCACTTCGTCTCCAACAGTGAAATTTTCGTCACCAAATTGATCCGTGACGAAATAATTTCGTCACCACGTTCGTCACCAATTCGTCGTCACTAAAAGTACCCGGTGACGAAAATTTATTTTGTCACCTATTATTGGCATTTGGTGACGAAATATTTCGTCACTAAATATTAAATATTTTGTCACCTATAACATCCATTTCGTCACCAAAATTAAATAAAATTTTATTTTATTTATTTTGAGTGACAAAATATTTCGTCATTAAAAATAGTGATAAAATTTTTAGTGACGAAAATATCGTCACCAAAAGATGGAAAAAAAAGACCTTTCAGTGACGAAAACTTTTTGTCAAGAAATATTTTAATTTAGTGATGAAATAGTGAATATGTGTGACGCTTCCTCTTGTTGAGATTAGAAAGTTTTAGTGTCAATTTTTTTTCGTCACCAGTGGGCGGCGGGTGGTGGTGGGTGGTGGCGAGTATGTGGCAGGTGGTGATGGTGGTGGTGGTGGTGGATGGGTGGGTGACGGTGGCGGGTGGTAACGAGTGGGTGGTGGTGGCAAATGGGTGGTCAATACCTGTACATTTTAATAATCTATTAAATAAAATATTTAATACAAATCAATATAAAATTAACTTGTTCATTATCATAAAACAACCCGAGCAAAATACATGTCTCATAGTATCAAGAAATTAATATATAACATCCAAATTATAACATCTATTCTAGTAAAATCAAAAACTACAACACAATCAAAATAACTTGTGCATTTTAATAACCTGCTGAATATAATATCCATTACAAATCATTACAAAAACCTGTTGATTTGGTAATATCAACAAAAAGTACAACTACGCTGTGATGGATGTGTCTGGTAATATCAACAAAAAACTCTTGCTATGCAGGTTACCAAATTCGTTCATCTCCAATCTGCCATTTAAAAAAGAAAAAAGAAAAAAAAGACAACAACAAAATGTTAAGGTAACCATTCACTAAATATGTTAATATGCAACCTATAAGAGAAAAAATAAAAATTTCAAAGTAAATTTTAAACCAAATTTTTATCGTACTTGTTCCGTAAATTTTTACAACTTACATTAGTTCCTCCCAAGGTGTTCATAATATTTCTTGGCCTTTTAACGACTATTTCAAGATTTTACTCCCTAACGGCCTATTTTCAAGCCTAAATGTTTTCCAACCGAGAGTCCTATGATTGTTCTGTAAGTTTTCACAACTTATGTTGATTCCTCCCAAAGTGTTCGTGATAATTTCTGATAATCTCAAGGTGTTTGTGATGTTTTTCGGGCCTTTAGATGCATACTTCACTATTTTCCCGGGACCTTGTGCCTAAATGTCAAAAGTAGTTTTTTATTCTACCCTAGTTAAAGAAGAAATGTTCTACTAAATTAACATATAAACATAATATACTAACCAAGAAGCTTGTTCATCAGAATCTGAACTTTCCCCATTCTCAAAATTTCCCGTGATACCTTTCTGCGTCAAACACTCTATTATACTTTGTATCTTCTTGCTTTGTTTCTTCTCTGACTTTTGAAACCTTGCAATTTGTTCATTTTGCTGTGCTATTTGCATCTCAAGGCGTTGAACATAGTCACTATTTTCAGCAGGTACAACAGTAGTCTTCATAGAAGAAGAAGGCCTCAAGCCGAGTCCTTTCACATAACCTGACCTTGGCTTAAGTACCTTAACTGACAACTCCTCTTGGCTTAAAGGGATCACACCAGTCTGCGAGAGGTGTTCGGCTTGCGTCTTTATCATGTTGTCCTGTTAATTTAAAATAAATCGAACAATTATTAGTTATTCTACCCTACAAAGCAAATAAATAATTTTATCAAAATTAATATGCATTGCCTTGTACATACATAATTAGCTTGGCTCTCCGACGAAATCCATTCATGTGTGTTCGAATTATAGTGGATGGACTTGTAAAACTTTGCCAAATCAGGAACTTCTCCATTTGCAATTATCTGATTCATTTGTTTTTGAATGTTATTTCAAATATTTAAATAACAAAGCCTACTAATCTGATAAAATAAAATAGCAGAACACACCGAGCTGTGCACCCTAACCGGGATTGATTTTGATCCACATCTATGTTTTGTTTTCATTTGCATCCTATTATTCACATTAGTTAGTGATTGTTCCTACACGATTGAAACACCAATAAAAACAGCAAAACTTAACATTAGTAAGAAGAAAATTAATTTTTGACAATTAACATAAAACATTATACCATGAATTCTTTACTATTCCACTTATTGTCAATTAGAGATGTCCATTGATTAAGAGTAACACTTGTAGGTGGGTGGCTTCTTGCATACTCCTCCCCTCTTGCATCCTTAAGTTGCTTGTATTGTTTGTGCAACCTATAGGTGAAGCTACTCAATCGCCGACCAAACTGTGTGTTTAAAGTCCTTGCTACATCAGTCGGATTGCCTTGTAGATCAAACTGATCCTACAAAATCAAATCATTTTTTTTATAAGTTAAATAACCTAAATTTCAGACAAGCAGCAATGAGCCTGATTAAACAACAAAGAAAAAAAGATTGCATCAACAGATGTGTTAACAGTTGCAATTTAATTCCTAGATATGCAGGCATTATATATTGTAACAGTTGCAACAGATGTGTTAATAGAGGAATATGATGTCCATGTTTTTCTAGGCAGTCTACAGGAACCTACAAATTCAATGTCAAGCTTTGACATGAAATGTTCTACATGTCTTTCTAGGCATTATATATTGTAATGAAAAACATTAACAGCAAGAATATGTGAATCATAAGTGTATACTATTGTAAATATTGCTTTTTACTGTGAAGATATTGCCAAGACCTTCCTAAATACATAGTTATAGTTGCATTCTTACTAATCGTTAAATTCGTTCCAAAACTAGAAGTCTTTGATATGCTACCATGTAATATCTTGTTTAGCAGCAAGTTCTTGTAATCACCCTAACAAAGAGAGTATTTCTTTCACACAATAATTACCATGTAATTTCAATTTCAATTTCAATTTCAATTTTCATGTGTCATGCCTCTTTTACTTGACAATAATTACCTCCAAGCGTTGGATCATCGGCTTCTTATCAGCATCGTGAACCTTATTCCACCTACAAATGCTCAAGTCTGGTAATTGCGTTCGAACCTCTATGCCAATCTTGGAGGCCAACTTAGAGGCTTGATCTCCTACTGGTGCACAGAAATGTTCAGGTACAGGAACCAACATCTTTCCATTTTTCTAGACAATGCGTTGGGTTTGTATGCCGCGTGTTGGACCACGACCACGTCTGTCATGTGATGCTGTAAGGACATAATGTTAATTGAGTTAATAAGTAAACAAATGCAAGTTAGACCTTAAATTAAATATAAATGACTTTGCAAACTTACCAACACTACTAGATGCAGTCATCTCATGCACAGGTTGCACATTATGAGGTGGTAAGGGTTGGGTACCAATCTCTTGACGTGGGGGATCCATCCCTTCTTCTGGGGTGGGAGTTAATGGCCTCGAATAAGGCTGTAAACGTAACCCCGGTGGCATCTCTTGTTCCTGAAATAACATAATCGAATAGTAAAGAAGATATTTAACACAGTTAAAATATATTTTAAAAAAGATATGATGTTTAAGATATATGAAGAAGATATTTAAATAGTAAATGCTATGTTCACACACAAATATAAAATAATGTATATAATACCTTGCGATAAAAGGAACCCAATGACTCGTTATCACTATCGTTCTCACTCTCTGACGGATTATACTCATCATTATCATCTACCTCAACCCTAAATCCCTTTTCCTTTGCATTTGCACATTTGGGCTGAACCACACTCATCAAAGAATTTGTAATATTCTTCACTCCATGATTGTCCATTACCTCATAGTTCTTCTCGATTCGCTTATTTCTTTGTTTCTCATATTCTGTTAGCTTTTTAGTTCTCAAATCACCTGGTTTCAGCCATTGTCTTTTTCCTTTGACCATTTTCTACAACTATATAACATAATTCAACTTTAATTGGAAAATATAGACAATATAATTATTCACCATTAAATAAAAGAAGAAAAACATAATCCCAAACATAATCCCAATGTTTCGAATTGTAATGCATATATTTGAACTCCAAATATTTCATAACAAGGAAGTTCCAATCCCTTGAATTGATATTTCACGCAAAAATTTTAAATCATATTGTAGAGTAGTGAAGGTTTCCATGGAAAAAAAATCAAGACAAGAGATCCTCTTCTTAAAAGAGGTGATGTTCCTGTATTGCATATATTTTAAATCGAATTAGGAAACACAGGAATATCATTCATTCAAGTTGGGTGGTTTATCATACATTCAAATTGGGTGGTTTGAAATATTCGGCGCATACTAGCCACGTGGCATGATCTGGACCGTGTTCGGAGAGATTGGGGTAACCGTTTTTTATTATTATTATTATTTTATTTTAAACAAAAGGATAATTGTGTTTATAGTGGGTCATGAGTTAGGAATTTTACGTGAATGGGAATAATATGCGAGAAAAAAATCATAATATATGGGGTAATTATAGTAATTTTGTTAGTAATTACTACATTTTTTTTAAAATTTTATTGATTGGACATATCACATTAGTATATTGATATGGTGTACTTGATTTATTGAATAATTTCTCGTTAAGTGTTAGTTGAAGGTTGGTTCGGCTCTTCTGTTTAGATTTTTAAAAAATTTAGCCAAACTAAATTTTTTAAGCTCAACATGTTAATGTGTAAAGGACAATTTAAAATATTTTATTTTTTAAATCCCTGGGCAAGAGGTGTGTTCTTCATGAAGGACATACTAATATTTTTTTTCTTTTTTCTTGGACAATCTTACCCTGTATATATAGCTCAAAGATTTGAACTGTGAACGTGAGTTTGATCATTGTTTTGAGTTTTTGATCCAGAGAACTTCCAGCAGATTAAGAAAGGAAGTCCAAAATAGCTGTCATTCACAAGCTAAGAAGCACGCTTGCCTCCTCCACCGCTGTCATGTGATTCAGGAGAAGAAGTCCACAAAGTGTTCTGTTTTTATTGTTTGTATTATATCTATAAATAGGTATGTATGTTTAGAGTAAAAGTGTGAAGTGGTGAGAGTCAGAGAGAAGAAAACAAATTTGTAAGAGTTGCTCTGTATGTTATTCAAATTTAGTAATTTGAATGAGTTTTGCAATTCCTCTGTGGGTTTCAATCACTACAAGTGATTGAGTGATTCTCATCCACCCAACAGAGTGCTCATGTTATACTTGAAATTCCATTTAATCATTGGACAACAAAACTGGGCTCAATTAATAATTCACAGTATGTTTCTTCAATAAAAAAAAAGAACACAATCTTGTTCCCCAACCCCCTTTGATATGTCTGTCTCTATATCTATAAGAAATTTATTTTTTATAAAATATCAAATTACAAGGTTCATGTCTTAAGCAAATTACAAGGTTCATATTCAGAATCTAATTATATTCAGAATCTAATTATAAATAAAATAGAGCAGGATACATATATATATATATATATATATATATTATATGTATAACAATATAATGTATACAGAACACAGAGTAGCAAAAGAAAAGAGAGAAAGAGAGAGCATCGAGAGAAAAGAGCAACGAGAGAGAGAGAGAGACTAACAGATCAGCGGCAGTGAGAAGAGGAGATGAGATCGGCAAGGGAAGGAGAGGCTAGATCGGCACAGCAGCGAGGGGCGGTGAGGAGAGGAGAAGCTAACAGATCAGCGGCGGTGAGGAGAGGGTGACGGCGGTGAGCAGAGTGAGCCGATCGGCGATGAATCTGTGTCTGAATCGATGAGGAGAGTGAGCAGCGGCGTCGCCTCTGTGTGTGTTGGTGAATCTGTGTGTGTGTGATGTGGTGTGAAATAGTTTGAACCGATAAATTATTGTGGCTGTTTGAGGCGCCAAAACAACTTTTTTTCCCCCCCCCCCCCTAAATATTAGTAACTAAATTATATTTTGGTGACAAAATTATTTCTTCACCAAAGATAGAAATATTGGCCACAAAAATCGTTTTGTCACTAAATAATATTAAAATATTAAAAATTATTGGTGACAAAAATATATTCGTCATTAATAATTTTATAATTAGTGACTAATTTTTTCGTCACTAAAAGTCTCAAAATTTTGGCACCCTCCGAAAATATTAGCGGGAAAATATTTGGTGACAAAAAAAATTATAAATAATGACGAAAAATAATTTCGTCACCTAATTTTTTTATTATGATTTAGATTGGTGACGAAATTTTATTTTTGTCTTCAAAAATGGTACATTTGGAGACGAAATATGATTTTCATCATTAAAAGATACGTTTATCGTGACAAAAAAAAATTTCGTCATTAGTTTTCGTCTCTAAAGACTATTTTTGTTGCAGTGAATGTTCGTCACTTGTCAACGTGAACGAGGTGTATCCTATAAACTTATGGTAACTCCTTCGGGAGGTAAATCGGAAGTTTGCTATTGGATTTGTTTTTGTTATGCTTTTGTACCTTGCGTGGAATATGCATTTTGTTTTGGTGCATGAATATGCATTTCTCTATTGTTGTATAGAATGTGTATTTCATGTTGCTACATGTATATGTATTTCACGTTGTTGCATGAATATGCATCTTGCTTCTCACGCAGAGAACATGCTTCCGTCATGAATCATGCATCGAACATGCTTTCGCTCTTGGAACACGCACATAATATGCTTCTTTTTTTTTTTTTTTTTTTTTTGTTTTACATAGAAGATGCCATTAACATTGTATCTCGACTGTTTGTTTCGCATAGAACATGCATAGAACATGCATTCTTACTGTATCACACTTGTTAAGTTTCTTTCTTACACATGCAGAATATTGTTTGTACTGTTCATTCAAAGGAATTCTAAGTAAAATCATATGTGCCATTCTCGGATCACGTCCTTTCCTCCTATTACGTGAGATGCGTTAGGATTGTCATCCTTCTCGGTTAAAAACATTAGAGTGCGCCCAGTGTTCACATCATCCTTCCTCCTCTTGCGTGAGACATGTTAGGATTGCGAATCAGTTAAAAACATCCAGGTGCGCCTGGTGTTCACACCACCCTTTGGCTAAAAACATTCGGGTACATCCGGTGTTCACACCATCCTTCCTCCCCTCGCGTGAGACGCGTTAAGATTGCAAATCGGTTAAAAACAATCGAGTGCACCCAGTGTTCACACCATCCTTCCTCCTCTCGGATTGGATACGTTAGGATTGCAAATCGGTTAAAACCATTCATGTGAGACCGGTGTTCACACCATCCTTCCTCTTGTCACGTGAGACACGTTAGGATTGGAAATCGGTTAAAAACATTCGAGTGCGCCCGGTGTTCACACCACCCTTTGATTGAAAAACATTCGGGTACACCCGGTGTTCACATAGCCTCTTTTCCTCTCGCATAAGACGCGTTAGGATTTTTTGCATCGGTTAAAAACATTTGGGTGCGCCTGGTGTTCACACCATCCTTTTCTCCTTACGCGTGCAACACGTTAAGATCTCGGTTGAGACCTCGAGTGCGCTCGACGGTTACTTCGCCCTTCGCCTTTCCTGCGCGACGCATAGTTAAGCTTACATAATTTTCTTACATCCTTTCTGCATGAAATGTGGTTTTGCTCGTGATTCCCACGCGTGACGTGTTTATTTATTTACTTCTTTTCATAATTTGAATTGTTGTACCTTGTTTCAGTTTGTTTAAGTGTGGCATTTTCTTCGCATTGCATTTACATTCAGGTGTTTCATTGTACAACCGCATTGCATGATCGTAAGTTATGTTCTTTCATCATGCATCTCATTTGCATCGCCCCAGAACTACGCTGGTTTGATTCCTTGCAAAGGGATACGTAGGTATCCTGCGGGTGCAACTATTTTCTGTCTTGTTTGTTTGTCCAAGTCTATCGGCCTTGTCAAAATGGGCCCTCTTCGGGCTTTGACATTCACCCACGTCATTTCATGATTTCTGAGTTCTTTCAAAGAGGGGCAACTGTATACAGTTAACTGACCGACATGTGGCCAATGGGGTGCTCAATTCATGACTTTAGGTCAAACATGATTTATTCCTTGCTTGTAAGGATTTCCCACCTTCGTTTCCCACCTTCAAGCTATCTTTTTTTGGACTTTTGAACACTGAATTTCAGAGTATTTTCAGTGGTAAAAATCATGTTTTGAAGTCCAAAATTAGAGGGGTTAGCCTTCCCTCCTTGTGTCTAGTTTGCTAGCCTAGTTAGCTCTATGTGTTAGCTTTATTTTCTAGCCTTTTGTA